GTGAAATGGGTCTCAAAAAATCCGTAATTTTTAGCGGATTACCGATTATGTTACTTTTTTTTTATTGAAAACAATATATTTATCAAGTTTATTTCGTTTGAAAATCTTGATCTCAGTACAACATATTAGAAAAAAATGATATATTATATATATAAATAAACTTGATATATTTATCAAGTTTATTTCGTTTGAAAATCTTGATCTCAGTACAACATATTAGAAAAAAATGACTGCAATCTTTTCGAAATGGGTCTCAAAAAATCCGTAATTTTTAGCGGATTACCGGAAAAATTATTAAATTATTCTTAGAGTTTTTTTTTTGGGACGAAATTATACTAAATATATGGAAAATAATCAAAATTAATCCATGAAAATAATCAACTAATTTTTTGATAATTTTGATTTTTTTTTTGATTATTTTCATTAATTCCAATTAATCCCTGATTATTTTTAGATCATTTTTAATCGTAATCAATAATTAATTAAAAAAATGGAAAATAATCGTTAATTAATCATTAATTTCACCTTTATAATAAAAATAATCTGATTAATAATGATTACGATTATTAATCATTATTTTACAGCTATGGTTTTAAGGCAGGGAGTTATTCCGTAGTTTGATTCGAAATAAAAGGTTTTAAAAGATACTAAATATATTGAAAAAATCAGAATAGAAATTGAAATAAAATAATGAAAAAAAGAATTCTTGTTCCAGATGTTTAGTTTTTCTCCGATAAAAAAATAATTAAAATTATACAAACATTTTTATTGTTGTTTTTATTTTCAGCTCGTTTTTCCCAAATGAAAGCAAGTGGTGACTATTTTGTGACCGTTATAGAGGATACACGTAAAAATGAAATAATTGGCGCTGCATCTTTAATTATAGAACGTAAATTTATACACAATTGTGCTATAGTAAGTATACTGAATAAAAATGAAACTTAAAAATCTCATGCATTAACAAAAACAAACATTTTTCTAAATTAGCGTGGACGTTTGGAAGATGTGGTGGTAAATGATACCTACCGTGGCAAACAATTGGGTAAACTGTAAGTGTTTTTATACATAAATTATAAGGAATAGTTTAATTATAAATTTATCTTCTTAAAAAAAAAACAGCATTGTGGTAACCGTTTCCCTTTTGGCTCAATATTTGGGTTGCTATAAAATGTCTTTGGATTGTAAGGATAAATTGATTAAGTTCTATGAAACTTTGGGTTATGTTTTAATACCCGGCAATTCAAATTCAATGACCATACGTTATGATGAATCTCCAGTTGTTAAACAGAATTTAACTGCTTTCAATGGCGCTGTCAGTGGTGATGCTTGCCAAACCGTGAGCCTCGATTTTAACTCTTGACAATTAGCCGCCAGTACTGCCGCTAAATCAAAACTTTAAATTGTTTAAAATTATAAACCTAAACAGCTGTAAATATAAGTATGAAAATTCGTTTTCAAATGTTTAGATTGTTATTACGGCTGTTATTTTTCCCCAGGAAAGAAACAAGGCCTGTTACTTTAAATTGAAAAGAACTTTTCTTATATTAATGTTGAAAACATTAAAAAAAAATACTAATTTTATTTGTTGTTTTTAATACAAATATAAACAAGAAAAGTTCTTTCGATTTTTATAGAATTTTTATGTTATATGTTCTTTTCTGGTGTTTATAATTTTCTAAGAAAAACAATTTTAAGTTCTGATTTCTCAAAGCTTTGTCAGAAAGAGCATATTTTCCAATATTCTCTTGGCTTTGAGGGCAGTGCTGGCAATAGTTGCTTGGCTAGTAGTGTGTAGACTTAGTCAAGTATTATTTGCTTTAGTACTTAATTCCTATATTATTCTAATTACATATTAACAATAAATAGTCTTTCCAAATTATTTAAAAATTTCTTTAATATTTCAATAATATTTTCTTCTTTTTCTTTAATGCTGTCTGACTACTAAATTTTTGTGTAAAACTACAGGTTGTATGTATTTTACCATTTAAAAGTACATTTATTAATTGAATTGAAAAAATATATATTTTTATTATTATTTTTTAGAGTTATGTATTGTATGTATGAGTTCTGTCATTAATCTATGTTTATATGTATAAAATGAAATTAAATCTTCTCAAGTCTTAAAATTAATAGTAACCGTGTTTTTCTTCTTCTCTTGTTAGTTAGTTTTTAATACAAAACATAAACGTAGTAAGTACATGTTTTATATAAAAGAAAATCAATTATTGCTTTTTCGTCATTTTACTTAAAAACTAATTATACTCACACAAATGACCACATTTGGGACATTTTGAATGATTGGCAAAATAATCCATAACATGTTGTATATGACCACCATGTGAACAACCCTGACACCAGGCATATAAGCCTCTTACTATTAAACTGCATATAGAACATTTTGCCAAACGCATTGATTTACATTTCTGACAATACCAGCCCACACTACCACCCAAAGGGCGGCCACAATCACCACAATTTGTATGAACGCCAGTGGATTTTTGATTTAGTTCACGTACAGGTCTTAACCATGATAGATTCATAATAGTGCAAGCCTCATTCCACATTTGATAGCGATGTAATTGATCGATGTATGTTTGAAACCAATGTTCCTGAAAGAAAATAAAAATACGATTACAATGTAATGTTCGACATTTTTTATATTTATTTAAGTATTCGATCTTTTGTTCGAAAAAAATACCTGTTAAGATAATTTTTTATATAAATTTGAGGTTCATTATACAAAATACTTACAATTAAGTCTTCTTCGATGGGTAAAAATTTACGATTTTCACCCATAACAATCAGTATAGTTAAGGCAGTTTGAACATCACCTACATCGTTTTGTAACATCAAGGCATCGGCCAGAAATTGATGAGGTTCCCACAGGGGTATAGGAGGTATAGAGGAGATTTTTAAAATGGCCGGCAAATTAGGAGGCTAAAACAATTTCACATAAAATTTATATAAAATTCAAAAAAAGTATTAAAATAAATTTAACTCACCGGTGACTTTTCCCTATTCTTTGCCTTAATATCCAATTGAGGTCTAGCGGCCTGGACATCACAATGCAGAGCAGTTTCCGGCAATGCTAATGCTTTTGTAAAATCCGGCGGACCCACATAAATAAAGCCATTACGCAGAGAATCAAAATTATCAAATGTTATTTCCGATAAAATTTGTGATTCTGACAAAATAACCGAACCATAAGGAGGATAAGTTTGTTTACCACTCGAACCACCACTATCTATTAAGTTATCATCATCTTGAGATTTTATATCGATATTATCATCGGAACCATTAACATTATTATTTTTGTTATGATCCCATTTGGAATTGTCAGTGCTAACCACTTGGGCAGTGCGACGAGCATTTTGGGCATTCTTTTGATTGGAAAACGAATTACGATGTTCGTATTTCTGTTTATTCATTTCATTGGAAGCATAACAAATTTCGATAAAATTCCAAAGTGTAGTGGCATTATGTTTACCATGTTTACGACAGACATTGGCATTGTGTTTGCAAATATCGGCTAATTTTTTGCCAGACAAAATTAATTCCTTGGCGCAGCCTATAAAACATTCATGTTCCTTAAGTTCAATGGAAGAGTTTTCTGGATCCATATAGCCAATAAGCTAAGTAGAAAGATTTTCTATTAATACTATTTTCTAAGGTTAAATTTTAGATTTTAAAAAACTTACAGATGTATTTAGTAAAAATCTGCACATATCGGATTTGCCTATATGAAATTGTTCCAAGCCAGTTATGGACTTTTGTCGGGTTCTTATTTCAAATAAAAATTAATATTATTAATTTGTTTTAATGTGTATGTTACTTCATTAAACTTACAGCATGGCATTCGATTTAACCACTTGGGCCGCTGTTACTGGTAAATAAAACTTTAATTTATTGGCAAATGATATATCACCTTTGCGTCCTAAACTGGCGCCTTGTACATTTGCTTTTAGAGCCGGTCGAGAAGCATCCTTAAAAGCATGTTTATAGATGGTAGAATCTTTACTAGTAGATAATAGACAATACGGATCATTGCCTTTCCACGCTATGCCAGTGGTAACATCAGTATGATCATTAAACGAAGCAAAGGGGACAAACGGACGCCGTATATCCCAAATATGTATACTATAATCAACAACCAGAGAACAGCTTGCTATGTGATAACTGAAAATAAGAATCTCATTATGTATGGATTTATTTCGTTAAGATTTTTAAGTATCATAACATACGTTTTCTCCGGCCGCCATTTGACACGTCCCACAACAGCTATAGTGTGTATGGTGTGTTCCAGGGAAGCTTTACCCTCCATATTCCAAATCTATAAATAATAATTATTAATTAAAACGAAATCTATTAAAAATAAAACTCCCCCAAAAGTGCCATTTTTGTCTTACCTTTATCTGTTTATCTCTACTGCCAGTAGCCAACCAATTTTGTGTAGGATGCCAATCACATGTATAAATAGGCTCCATATGGGCAGGAAATTGCAGCATACATTTATCCGTTCTGCAACAAAGAAATGTGTTCAACTAAAAGTTTACATTTTACTAAGCTTCCATACCTTCTCAAATCCCACAATTGCACAGTACCATTTTCCAAAACTGCCGAAAACAGATTATTACTATGTGGACTAAATTTAACATCTCTCACCGATTCCGAATTACTATAAAACGTATTGCAAGCCTTATCACTACGTGTATCAAAACATTTAATAGTACCATCCTGAGAACCCGAAATCAAAGTATTCACTTCCGTATTGTGAAAAGTGACTGCATGGGCTGTACGCTCGTGATCATTGTACACCAACCATTGTTTTTGTTTGCCAAATTTTGAAAGATCCCATACTGAAACAACACCATTAGTGGCCGCTGTAGCCAATATGTTGGTGTCTAATGTACTCCAGGCTACATCATTGGAAGAATAACTAAGATTTTGATTTTTGCCACCGCGCATATTACACACCTCGGTAAAGCCATCATTGTTAATAGCAAAAACTTTAAGTACTGCAAAAAAAATTAAAAAAAATCAAAAATTCTGTTCTGATCAAATATTTTTGTTAAAAACTTACAACTCCGTCCTGCTACTGCTATTTTATTGCAATCTTTATTGAGTACCAACGCGTTGGCATGGCCCTCTTGGCAAATACGTAGCGAAACGGTACCCGATTCTTCCAACATTTAAAGGCACTAAAAATATGAGGATTTTTTTTTTCTAATTATTGTTATTGACAAGTTTAAAATTTACATACCAAAACATAAAATGCTTAATAAAACGATAACAATAAACAAAATTGCAATTTGTGCGATAAAACATATGTTTTTGATAACAAGTGGTGATTCTCTTAAGTTTTGCATAATGGTTCTCTCTTAAAATCTCTTTAGCACTCTGTTAAACTTGGTAGGGTTGACTAGTTTTGTTATTATTAAAGTAAATGTCAGTAAAATTGTCGAAATCATTAATGGAAATAAAATTATTCATGGAAAATAATTTATTTGATGAAAAGTTCTGTGGCTGTTTTCTGTAACTTTCGAGTCGAGAAAAAACATTGAAATATTAGAGTCTTCCAGTTTTAGTTGCGTGATTCAAATAATATTTAAACTGAACAAATAACAATTAACCAAAATATATTTAAATTACGTGTGTTCACCCTGTTTTAAACAAGACGATTATACAATTTTCGAATTTTTAGTCGATTCCAAAGTTACAGAACATAGGCAGTGGATGAATTTATTTATGTAAAATTGTTAATAATTATTTTTTTAAAACTTTTTCTTTGCGTATTTTAGACAATTTTATAAAAAAATCTTTTATACGATTTTCGTTAAGAAAACTTTTAGACAATATTTTATAGTGTATTTTTGATAGAAGAATAAAAAAAAATATTTTGAAAATTTTTTTAGAAAAAATTAAAAAAAAAATTAGAAAAAATGCAAATTTGTTTATAAAAAGATTTCGCAAAATATTTTTGTTGACAAATTTTCGACGGTAGATAGAAAAAAATTTTTCTTTACAGATAAGATTTTAATAAATTTTGATAGATAAAATATCGAGAATTAAGAGAAATTTCAAAAAAATTCCAAATAAAGTTTTACCATTTAAAAAAAAAAAATATGAGAAATAATACGCTAAAAAAAAATATTCAAAATTTTTAAGAATTTCTTATAGAATAATTTTTACATTTTTTAAATACTACATACCTGAAAAAAATTTACAAAATACCTCTTAGTCACAGAATTATAAGTTACTGGCAACTCTAACTAATTTTCATTACATTTTGTACGTAAACACAACGTTTTTTCTTAGTTTTCTTTTATTGTTGTACAGCGCCAAATACTTCAAATCGTAACATTCTTTCGCATTATTATCTGAACTTTCTTTTGTTAAAAAACATGATTTAATTATTTTGAAATATTTTGAAATTCAAAGCAAATAAAATATTGGTAAGTTTAAAACTAAATGTGAAAGAGGTGAAGGTGGAGCAAGGAGCTACCAGCCAGACAGTCAGCTGTTGCGTCTTTATTATTGGCAGCGGCGGCAACAGCAGTCGATGGAAATTTTTTTTCTCAAGTTTGCTTTTATTTTTGTTAAATATTTTGTTTTTAATTGTTTGTTATTCATTAACATTTTCTTGTGTTTTGTTTATTTTTCTTTTAAGTTACAAAATAGAAAATAGTTATAGAAAGAAGAAAATAAAACTTAAATGTTGCTTTAAATAAAAGCGAAGAGTGATTGTGTTTGACATTTTTAATAGAGACAGAAAACCATAAGGAAAATTTAAGAGACCGACCTCATGCCGGACATTAAAGTAACACCTTTGGGAGCTGGTCAAGATGTAGGACGCAGTTGTTTGTTGTTGTCGATGGGTGGTAAAAATATCATGTTGGACTGTGGCATGCATATGGGCTACAATGACGAACGACGTTTTCCTGATTTCTCGTATATAGTGCCGGATGGTCCTATAACAAGTCATATAGATTGTGTTATCATTTCACATTTTCATTTGGGTAAGTTGGAAAAGATTGAAGTCTTTGATAGCAAATTATTTAAATTGTTTGTCATTAGATCATTGTGGCGCTTTGCCTTACATGTCCGAAATGGTGGGCTATTCGGGACCTATCTATATGACCCATCCCACTAAGGCTATAGCTCCCATTTTGCTAGAAGATATGCGTAAAGTGGCTGTAGAACGTAAGGGTGAATCGAATTTCTTTACCACTCAAATGATTAAGGATTGCATGAAGAAAGTGACTGCTGTAACCTTGCATCAAAGTGTTATGGTAGACAGTGAATTGGAGATCAAAGCCTATTATGCGGGACATGTCTTGGGTGCCGCTATGTTTTGGATACGTGTTGGCTCACAATCTGTAGTCTATACCGGTGATTACAATATGACACCTGATCGTCATTTAGGGGCTGCCTGGATTGACAAGTGTCGCCCTGATTTGTTGATCTCTGAATCTACCTATGCCACCACTATACGTGATTCCAAACGTTGTCGTGAGCGTGATTTTTTGAAGAAGGTCCATGAGTGTGTGGCAAAAGGTGGTAAAGTTCTCATTCCTGTCTTCGCTTTGGGAAGAGCTCAAGAGTTATGTATTCTATTGGAAACTTATTGGGAGCGCATGAATTTAAAATATCCCATCTACTTTGCTGTGGGTCTTACCGAAAAGGCCAACACTTATTATAAAATGTTCATCACCTGGACTAACCAGAAAATCCGTAAAACTTTCGTCACCCGCAATATGTTCGATTTTAAACACATTAAACCTTTCGATAAGACCTATATTGATAATCCTGGAGCAATGGTGGTTTTTGCTACACCGGGTATGTTACACGCCGGCTTGTCTTTGCAGATTTTTAAAAAGTGGGCTCCCAATGAAAATAATATGGTTATTATGCCCGGTTATTGTGTCCAAGGTACAGTGGGCAATAAGATTTTAAGTGGCGCGAAAAAAGTAGAGTTTGAGAATCGCCAGGTGGTTGATGTTAAAATGTCGGTGGAATATATGAGTTTTTCTGCTCATGCTGATGCTAAAGGTATGCATTCAATTTGCCTAGATATAATTTGTATAACAGAATTTATTTAAATACTCATTTTCAGGCATTATGCAACTTATACAAAATTGTGAACCGAAAAATGTCATGCTCGTCCACGGTGAAGCTGAGAAAATGCAATTTTTACGCACAAAAATTCGCGAGGAATTCAATATTGAAACCTACATGCCAGCTAATGGTGAAACTTCGGTTATTTCTACTCCCGTTAAAATACCAGTTGATGCCTCTGTTTCCCTTCTCAAAGCAGAGACACGCATTTACAATGCCCAGCCACCGGATCCCAAACGCAGACGTTTAATACACGGCGTTCTTGTGATGAAAGACAACCGTATTATGTTACAAAATCTCACCGAGGCATTAAAGGAAATTGGCATTAATCGTCATGTTATGCGCTTTACATCCAAAGTTAAAATGGATGATCCGGGTCCAAAAATACGTACCGGCGAGAAACTGTTGGCCTTGTTGCAGGAGAAATTAACCGGTTGGACAGTGACAATGCAGGAAAACTGCACCATAGTTGTAGAATCGGTGGAGATTAAAATCGAAGAGGATGAAAAGGATGTTAAACATAAGACACTCCTGATAACATGGACTAATCAAGATGAAGATATTGGTGCATACATATTGAATATGTTACAAAATATGTGTTAGTTAAAAAAGTGTTTTTCTTATAAATAAAAATATTACAAAAATAAATATCTATATATAATTAATAATTTTCTACTATATTTCTGAATATTATTTAATCGAACGAAGAATGTTTGAAAGATTTAAAAGATTACGACTGTAATAAATGTAAAAATTATAAAATGAAATTGTTTTTTAACATTAGGAAATGGATTTTTAGGTATAAAGAATTTTTAATTCTTTATTGCGGAATTAAATAAAATTAAAATATTTTTGGAGACCTTCATTTTCAAATTTGTGAATGTGTGTACATAAAGGACATTCTTTAAAACAAGAGTCAAAAAACATTATATCAATATAGTTAGAATAAAACTGCACCTAATAGCTGGAAAAATCGTTTTTTAAATATAAAATTCAATCAATTTCATTATTTTATATTGATAATAAAATTTGAAACAAAATGAATACGAAACACATTCGGTTAATAATCTCATTGACAATTTCCCTCTTTCAAAAGGAAATGAAATTAGCTGTCGATAAATATTAAAAGCTATCGCCGCTGAAACTTTTTTGCTAAATTCAGCTTGTTCAGTATTCAGTCTTTTTTATAATTTGCTTAATTTTTTCAGAATTGACAATTTAAATTTTTATTTTCTTTTGAATGAATTCTTTTTAAAAATATAAGCCGTTTTTACATTCTCTTTCTGTCACTGCGAATTACATATTTGGATGCAAATTCGGACCATTCAATAGTACGGCCATTACAAAAACACAAAAATCGACGGAAAACGATTCTAACGTTACGATATCTACGATAGTTTTCGAAATATTAAGTTATTTCCAAAAAAGTTGTTAATTGAGAAAATTAAACATATTTACCAGGCTCGCAGTTTAATTTAAGCAGCCGTCTAAATTATTTGTAACGCCGTTTATTTTGGACGGCGTAGGTTTCTGCAACACAGATGACACAAAGTTTAGTTGTCAAGAAAAAGAAATTCGCATACGTCATGAAAAGTTTGTGAAAAATTAAGAATTTATAGAAAAATATGAAAATTTTCACCAAAAATTTTACATTAAAAGAAACTTTAATTTGTAAACTGTAAGTGCGGGTAGAAAAATTAAACGAAAATTGAATTTGAAACGCTAAAAATCGCTTAAGAACATTTCGTTTTGCGTGAGGTGACTACGGTGTAAAGAAAAATAGTGAAGAAGCAGTGAAGTAAAAAGCAACAACGTACGAAGGGCGATCATAAAAACAAACGAGAAAAACAAAAGATTTTCTTTTTATTGCTTTTCTCCTCACCAACAAACACCAGCAGCTGTTAAAAAAGACAGAAATTGCGAAATTTTTGTGAAAATTTTATTTGCTGAACAGAAAAGTAAAATTTGCTTGAAAAACGCTCACCGAAACATTAAGTTTAGTTTAATTTTGCTTTGCTAAATAGAAATTTGTAACAAAATATTTGGGCGACGAGCAAAGCACATGATGTGGTCGTTCTTCTCGCGCGACTCTTCCAAGGATTTTCCTTATGATATTGGCGAACCAGTGGCGGGTTTTGAGGCACATTCCATATGGACACTACATAAGGCTAAACGTAAGGGGACGCTGGAAGAAGTATCGGTGTTTGTATTCGATTTGCGTAGTGGTTCTGATGCCAAATGCGACTTGGCGAAGGCGTCGTTGAAGAGATTGAAGACTCTTAGACATCCTAGTATATTACAATTTTTAGATTCATTAGAAACTGATAAAATGCTGTATGTTGCCACCGAGTTGGTTGAGCCCTTGGGAACACACATACAAAAACTATCCACAGAGGGTCCGCAAAAGGACTTGTATTTGGCCTGGGGTATATTTCAAATAACGGTAGGTGGTAAAGTTAACATAACAAATAACTTTTTAAACAATATATTTTTCTGTTGCAGAGAGCCTTGTCGTTTCTTAATAATGATGGCAGCCTGCGACACAATAATGTTTCTGTTTGGTCAGTGTTTGTTAATTCCTCAGGAGAATGGAAATTGGGTAGCCTAGAATATGTCTCGCCAGCCGATGGTAATCCCTTGCCACCTATTAAAGTGCCACCTTCTTTGGAGGTTTATGATCCACCAGAGAAAAATGATCAATCTAAATTAAAGGCAGCCACTAAATGGTATTTGTATTTTTACATTGTTTGAGAAATTTTTGTTTATCCTTTCTCCTTTTATAGCTCTGCTGATATGTGGGGTCTGGGCTGTTTGGTATGGGAATCCTTCAATGGTCCTTTACGTTCTCGTGGCAGTCTTAAAGATATCGATAACATACCTAAATCTCTGCAGTCTTTATACTGTGAATTAGTGGGCGCTTCACCCTCTAATCGTCCCAATCCTGCTGATATTATAACTAGATGCCGAAAACCCGGTGGTTTTTTCAAAAATGATTTAGTGGACACGTTATTGTTTTTGGAAGAAATACAAATAAAAGATAAGGCGGAAAAGAATCGTTTCTTTTCGGGTCTTACTTTGCATTTGGACAATTTCCCTGATAATGTGTGCAAGTAAGTTTAGTAATAGTTGAACTAATGTTGTAAGTGTTTTTAGAGATTTGATAAGCTTGAATTAATGTTTTTTTTGTTCGTTTTAAAGACACAAAATTTTACCCCAACTGATAACAGCGTATGAATATGGTGATGCTGGTTCAGCTGTATTAGCGCCTATGTTTAAGGTAAGTAAAAATGAAGTGCTGCAAAGAAGTAATAATAAATATAAACAACTATTATCGTTATCCTATTTTAGTTGGGAAAACTTTTAGATGAAGCCGAATATCAAAAACGTATTGTACCCTGTGTCGTTAAATTATTTGCCTCTACAGATCGTGTAACACGGTCGCGTCTTTTGCAACAATTAGAATTATTTATTGCCCATTTACAGCCACCAGTGGTGAATGAACAAATATTCCCACAAGTAGCGCATGGATTTTTAGATACGAATGCCACCATTAGAGAGCAAACAGTAAAAGTAAGTTGAACACATACACACTAATTACATATACTAATAAAAGCATATTTCCAAAATAATTCCAACAGTCAATTATACATTTGGCTCCAAAATTAAATTATAATAATTTAAATGTTGAAGTATTACGCCATTTTGCCCGACTACAAGCACGTGATGACCAGGGTGGCATTAGAACGAATACCACAGTGTGTTTGGGTAAAATAGCACCACATTTGCATCCGCAGGTGAGTAAAAAACAGTTTGTTTTTATACGAAATACATTAATTTAATTAATGAATTTCATTAACAAATATTACAGGTACGACAACGTGTTTTGGTATCGGCTTTTATAAGAGCCATGCGAGATCCTTTTCCACCAGCTCGTGTGGCGGGTGTTTTGGCCTTAGCAGCTACCCAACAATACTTCTTATTAAAGTGAGTTAACTGTTCTAAATATTTTCTTTTAAACAATTTTTACACAATTCTATTATTTACTTTACAGTGAAGTAGCAAATCGTGTCTTACCTGCATTGTGTTCGCTTACTATAGATCCTGAAAAGTCTGTACGCGATCCAGCCTTTAAAACTATACGTGGTTTTCTAGGTAAACTGGAAAAAGTTTCTGAAGATCCTAGCCTAAGAGAAACTATGGGTAAGTAATTACAGAATATTTATAAAATTAAATTAAAATGTATCTTTATTACAGAAGCAGATGTTCATACCGCCACTCCCTCGATTGGCAATGCAGCTGCCACTTGGGCGGGATGGGCTGTAACAGCCGTCACCTCGAAATTCTATCGTAGTCAAAGTGATTCCTCCCGACCCCGACCTCCATTAACCGGACGTAATTTATCAAAACCGGCTTCATTAGGTAAATATAAAATGTTATTTTTAAAAATTAACTTACAAATATAATTAATGTTTTCCCGTTTTAAACCAAAAAACAGAACAACCTTCTAGCAGTAGTTTATCAACGACCACCTCATCAGTAACGTCCATGACTTCATTGGAACATGAAAGTAATGATACATCAGCCTCTGCTTCCGATTATGGCAATAATGATTGGGACAATGAAAATTGGGGTGAAATGGATGTAAGTTTTCTTTTATTAATTAAGGCTAGTAAATTATAAGAATAGATATCTTAACATATTATTAGACATCACAGGATCCCAGTTCACCTATGGCTGGTTCACCTAATAATGGCCCTCTAAATGCCTCTGCCACTTTAGCTGAAGTAAGAGATGGTTGGGATAATGAGGAGTGGGGTAGTCTGGAAGAAGATCCGGTAAGTGATTCAAATATAAACAAAAATATTATTTTACTAAAAGGTTTTTTCATTCTACTATTTCTAGGGCGAGGAAGAAGCTCAAGAGCAGGAACAACAACAACTACAACAATTACGACAATCACCTTTAAGACCGCATCAGCAACAATTACAACAACACCAATTAAATGAACTTATCGAACCCTTGGCCAAGCTCAACTCACATAATACATCACCCTCAAAACAACCACTGTCACAATTATCAACCTCAACGACGGCGGCCACTTTATCAACAAATTTAAGACCAAATGATTTATCAACAAATTTATCTTCGCTCAGCAATACTATCAATACAACAACAACAACACCATCACCATTCCTAAATTGCAACAATGTTAGTCCTCCACAAATGAAATCACCGCAACATATTAATAATTCAACGAATAATGCTAATTGGAATAGTGATTCATGGGCTGATGGTGAATTTGAACCCATAGATGAACCAATGACTGGTAAGTCAATACATTTATTATACCTTATTCTATTTCTATTTAAACAATTGCTTGATATTTATGTGGCATCTGTGGGCTTTTGCTTGCTTCCAATTTCATATTTCACAATTTATATTTGTTTTTTAAACAGCACTGATCATGATGATTAGGTTTTGTTTGAAAAAAAAAAAAATTCTCATTTATGTTCATTTCAATTTTATTATTTAAACTTTTTGTTTTTGTATATAAATATATGTATATTTTATCTTTTTGTTTTTTTAATTTTTATTTTCTTGGTTTTTTTGTGTGTAATTCACTATTATTGTTATTAAATCAAATATCATGTTATGTTCTACTATATATATTTCTATTTGTATCATAACATTTAATACTATTATGCTTTTTTATAAGTATCATCTACTAACACTTTTAAATTGTTAATTTGAGATCTGTTGATGATTTAGTTATTTTGTAGGATAATCTATAAATTGACAGACAACATTTAGTCAAAATTTATTCGGATCGATTCGAATAAAAACTAAACTCTACATTATATAACCACTAAAACTAGATTACTCTAGATTGTTTTTCAGACACTTCAGATGTCTTAATTTGACCGATGGCATAAGTTATATTTTGCTTTTAAGTGCCACAAACCACAGGCTTATTGGCAAGGACCTACGCTCTCGTAAGTTGGCCTTGCCCAAGCAGAAGGTGTATATGTACATGAAGGTGTACATATATATATGTGCTAAATAGATTACCAACCAATAAAAACAAATAAGGATGCCAGTATGAATACGACCTGTTAGGGACAATCCAGACGTCACGGTTAGGAAGGAGGATGTTGGGGGGTTTTTCAGTACATGAGACGGTGACGTTAGCTTAACTGACCTACATGCATGAAGTCCAGTAGTCCTTCTGTAGTTATAAAGTGATTCCTTTGTGAAACCAGTGCTACCCAGAAATTATCTCTGTCTGACTGTGAGCTTGCTAACAGTCAGTCAACTAAGATCACATACCCTACTGAAGAGCCTAAGGGGATCCAAAGGGGACATTTGGGAGGCGACCGCTTACAGTTCATTCGGCAAGTAGCAGTGGAGGACAATCCAAAGGCTCCTCCACGAGATATTAATAATGACGGCCGCACAAAGGAGGGGTAATCAAGGAACGGATCACTTGCCATTCTGACCTAGATACGCTCCTTCTCATAAGCGACAAACTATCATTATATTTGAAAGAATTTACGGTGAAGATCCACTCTCTGGAGACAACAAGTGGATGCTGCCATCAACCCGGCTAACACGCAAAAAAGAGTGATGGGTCGATCGCAGCATCTAACTGTAGTCTGCCTAAAGATAGATAGTGTGGTACTCCGATAAACAATGTGCATCCACAAACCCTGGTAAAGCGACCAAGACAACAAGGAAGGTCAAGAGGGCTTCTCTCCTATTGATCTAGAAGAAAGTCGGTAAGTCCTTGTAATCTTGACAAACATACCATACATTAAAAAAATAGTTTGCTACTTTAGGAAATATATATTTCATCAGATCTCAAATATTTATTTAATTTCAAGATGTTATTGTCTCATAATTATTAATATCACTGTCCTTATTATTTACTGTAATAACTGTATTAAATATTTACTAATTTCATATAAAATGTAAATATATTCAAATTTAATAATTTATATTATTTCTCATTAACCAATTAACGAACAATATCCATCACAAAATGCACGCTTTATTTAACAAAAGATGTTTTTTTCAAATTTAATTTTAAAATTTTGTTAAATTAAAAAAAAAACACATTTTATAGGTAATTCGAAACTAGATGAAGCACGACGAAAACGCGAAGAAAAGAAATTACAACGTCAAAGGGAATTAGAAGCACGACGTGCTCAACGTAATAGTGGTCCAATGAAATTGGGCGCAAAAAAGCTTTAAAAACTAGCATTTAACTGTCATTTTAAAATGACATTTAAAATGTTCAGTTTTACTTTTGTAACTAAACTATAAATAATCATAAATAAAAAAAATTTAAACAAAAACATGAATAAATATATTAGATATATAATTTTATTCGTCTATACATACATATATTTTTTTCTACATTAATATTTTTAGCTTAATTTTGCAATATTTAATATAAAACAACAACAAAATTATTAAAAAAAAAACATCAAACAACAAAGAAGAAATAAATTGCATGCCAGTTTAATATTTAATAAAACAAAAAAAAAATCGACAAATGTTTAGGAAAAGTATAAATACTTTACGCATTGAATGCGATAACAAATGAAAATAAAACAAAAATAATTTAAATAAAATATTATTAAAAAAATGTCTAAATAAGAAAAAAAAAAAAAAAACTAAAATAAAATAGAAATCTCCCCTTCTAAATTTTTTAAAGCAATTTATAAACATTAGCTTAAATAATTATTTTGTTTTAGATTAAAGAAAAAACTCACATGAGAATGTTTAATGTATATTACAACAATATAAATAATGATTCCAATATTCATTAGTTTTCTTATTTTTTAATAATAATTTAAAAATAATTGTTGTAATTTTTTTTAATATTTTTCATGGCACAGCTTTTGTGTTTATTTAATAAAAAAAATATATTATTTACAGTATTTGTTATTCTGTTAAAGTAAAAAAACTATTTTTAATAATAACAAATAATAAAAAAGATATTATAAAAAATGTTAACTATACCGAAGAATTTTTGTTTTAATTTTCTAAATTTTATTTTCACCTCAATCTATTTGTAGATTTTATAAATATCAAATATTTTTTAAAGAATTTAAAATCAACTTGAACTTAAATATATATTTGAAGAAAAATCAAGAATACAAAAAAATATATATATATATTTGTAATTAGGTCTTATATAAAATTTATTATTAAGCTTATCAATTTTGAAATTGTAAACGAATCTTCTAATTGATGATTTAAGTTAAAAAAAAAAGAAATATCTTTACAATATATTGTAAAAAAAATGAAATGAACTCTAATTTAATATAAAGAAAAAATAAAAATAAACTATCAAACAACTTTATATTGTAATAATAACAAATAAGACGATAGATAATATTGTTAACATTATTATTATTTATTTTGTATTTTAATTTTACCATGTTCAGAGCTGTTTAAAAGAGAAATTAGTCAAAATTTTGATTATTATATCATTTATGAATTTTAATATTTAATTTTAAGTTCAAATACTTTTGTTTGCATATATTAGTTTATAATTTGTTTTTTATTCATGGTTTAACTATTTTGCACATTTCTTAGCCATTTATATTTATTTTTAATATGAAAACATACAGGTCTGATTTATTAGTAATTTTTAGGTCATCTGAATAACATTACATTCCTAACGAATTTTTTCTAATCATAATTTTTGAATGTCGATGAAAAACTGATTTCCTGCAAAAGACCTTTAATGTGGGGTTCCGTTAATTAGAACACATCCTGATGAAACTTGGTAAAAAAAACTTGTTTATATCGAATTTTATCGCTATATAGATTGTGTCAATTTAGCAACATGCTTTCGAGAATTTCCCTATTTAAAATCATCAAAATCGGACTTTAATCGGCTGTTTATAAAAAAAGAACAACACTTAACATATGAAGCTGTATGTTATTTTGTTATTGACAAAGTTTGTAGTCAGGGATGGAAGATTGTGTTTGAAGAAAAATTAAATTAAAACATTTTTAAATTTTTAAAAATCGAACTTAAATTCTTAAAAATAGTAAAACAAATAAATAAGTACGATGACTATTGAGTCTGACAGTGGCTCGTCAATAAGGAATATATTTCATATTTATCCTTTCCAAATCAAATCTAAATTTGTAACAAGTTTAATAATAACTTGTTACAGAATAGCTGAAGGTGTCATCATCATAGTTTTTGAAGAAGTACCAATGAATGTATCCTTTTTATGGGAACATACTGCCTACATATCTTGATTAATATGTACATCATCCATGTTAGTCACACGTTCATCATCCAAATATGCGTCTCATTTTTTGTGTTCTTTAAAAAGCGCAAATGTTCGGTGAAGTCTTAGACTGTAGCATAAAGGTAATTAATATGCTACAGTCTAAGTTAGATCCAGATCTTGTACAGATGACGTTTTATCTGAGAATTCTTTATAACCGAGTTCATTATAGTGTGGCCTCCGCACTGTCGCCCTTTTTCGTTTAAATGGCGGCCAAAAATCATTGTTTTTGTTGTGTCCAATTTTAAAGTTATGTTACTTATTTGAAAGTAAACACTAACAAACCTCGGGAGCCCAAAAAATTACAACTCAAACATGAACTATCACAGCTTTTTGTTTAATTTTCAATTTTCTTAATAAATCTCGAATTTTTAAATGATTCTAACTTTTTCGTTTTAATAGATTTTAAAGTGAAATACATTTTCTAAAATTACTTGACTTCCAATCTATCACTTTTAGAAGAAATAAGCCTTTATATATTTTAGAACATTTTAAACTTTTTTTTTAAAGAAAATATCAAATTTTCCCAAAAATTCGATAGTTAATAGACCGTAACTTCTAGGGAACAAAAGAGAACAAAAAAAGTTCTACACTGTGCAGTAGTCCGAACTCTCTGCTACACGCGTATACACCAATATGTATTCGGCCCGTGTGCGCCAGAGCAATTTTTCTGACTCAAAGTCGGATATTTTGTGCAAAATGTATGAAAACAAATGTTTTGAAATTTTCATGAAATGTTCAGAGTCTGGAAGGAACTAAAAGTAACATTTTGTTTTGCAATTTTTAATGGGCGAGGTGCCACGCCCATATACAAAATACACATTCAAATTCATATATATGAGAAACTTCAATAGCTGGAGTACTAAAATTTTGCATCTACAACTTTGACATCTATATAAACATTTTAAGAAAAAAAAAAAATGGGCGGACTAACATTATCGGGCATGGCATCCTCCATATTAGTCAAATACTACAAATTGGTATATCTTGGAAATTATAACAGCAAGAGTCATCAAATTTTGCTCGGTTAACTATGACATCCGTATAAACATTTGGGAAAATGACTAGCATTAGTGGGCGTGACATCTCCCATATTAATTAAATACTAAAGTTCATATATCTGGGAAACTATAAAAGCTAAGTTGACCAAATTTTCTACTTGCAACTTAAGTATCAATCTAGAATCAGCGGGCCTGGTATCTCTCATATTAATAAAATACTAAAAATTTTTTATCTGGGAAACTATAACAGCTATAATCCTCAAATTTTGCACAGCCAACTTTGACATCGATATGAACAGTTAGGGGAAAATAGTGCGTGTGGCATGTCTCATATAAATACCAAAATACATAAATATGTTTGGGATACTATTACAGCTAGAGTCACCAAATTTTGTGTGATCATATTCGAATAAATTTAAATATTTAGGACATGGAAGTACCAAATATAGTGGGCGTGGCATATCCCATGTATATAAGATGTTAAAATACGTTTATCTGGCCCCTGTGAACATCAGAAATAAAAAGTTTAAGAAGTGCCAAAGTTTGTCTTTTATTAACAAGTTTTATGGTAATAATTAAAGCCCAAAGTCTCAATAACCAAACAAAACAAAACTGGGTTTCCAAATTCCAATCCAAAGTTATGGATTTTTGACCGCTATCTGGTAGAATGGACCACTGTGTCCCCTTAGGTTGTGTGGCAGTGTAGGTTAGTTGTTAGTGTTCTAGTTTGTTAGACCGGCAGGTCGTGGGTCCGATTACCCCTTGAGGCACTGGAAAGGGAGTGCACAACAGGTCCGATGGTGTATTTCTTCGCATTTGATGTAACACGCATTCTTCTTTCAAGCTAACTAACAAAGTTTTTTATATAAAATATTTTTTGTATGAAAATAGTTACCAAAATGTCGGGACTTGAAAAATAGTTCCTAATAAGTGAGTTTCCTAATAATTGGGTTTGACTGTATGTTTTTTCTTATTTTAATGTTTATGCTTAATGCATTTCGTTCTTATCCTTAAGGCAAAACAAAGTCAAAAATACCACTCTTCTCTGCTCTTTTTCTCCCACAAAGTCCAAAACTTGCGCAACTTAAATTGCCCACTTTAAATCAGGATTAACTAGTTTAAAACTGATTTGTATTTAAAACGTTAAACTTCTTACACGTTTTATTTACTCATTTTCTTATTGAGTTTTAGTGTTTTATATTATTTTTTTTATTTTAAAAATTTTAATAATTCTTGCAATCATTTGAACAGTTAGAAAATTGGCCATAAAATATTTTATTTCAATTCCATTACTAACTCATTTAACATTTTAATTTTCCTTCTTAAATTTATTTCTGAAAATTGTACAGTTTTATAACAAAAAAAAAAAAAAAAAAAAAATTCTATATAGTAAACAACATTTTAAATCATTAAATAAAACCGATAAAAACTAATAAAAAATTCAAAACTTTTCCATGTAAAATAAAGTATTTTTACGAAAATAAATTAAAATATTTTTATAGACAAATTAAAATGAAATAAACCTCACAATCTCCTTCAACAACAATTAAATGTTTAAATCCAATGTATGAAAATAAATACAAAATAATTTTTTAAGGCTTTTTTTGCAAACGAAATTACAAAAAAAAAACCAAACAAACCGACAAAGAAAAAATCATCAAAACTTGAGCACATTTTATAAGCTTTAAGTTGCTTTAAAAATTTCTACTTTCTTAAACAATTTACGAATTGTTTCAATTCAGTTCAGTTTTATGCACCCCAAAATTATAGATTTTTTTTAAATAATTTATTGTTAAAACAAACAAAACACAAAAAGTATTTTTTAAATTTTAAAATAAATAAAATGTATTTTTCTTAAAAGAAGATTTAAAATCGTCAAAGAAAATCCACTAATAATCAATGTGTTTAAATAAACAATATTAAATAAAAAATTAAAAAAAAACCGAAAGAGATATTTTTAAAACGAATTACAAATTTTTCATATTAAATTCTGCTCCAATTCCTTCCTTAACCGCTCCTCCTACTCTTTACTATAGTTGTCATTTTTTTAATTGTTATCGAAGATATAAAAAAATAAAACATTAAATTTTTCCATTTTACAAAACAAAAATAAAAAAATCTCATTGTCAGTTACATTTTTCCTCGATTACCACAACAAATAGAATTTGTACAAATAAGCAACTACAAACAAACAAAATAAAAATAATTACCAAAAAATATTCATATATAGAAAAAGTCAGTGCAACATCCTCGCTATAGAAACAGGACTAACATTTCAAATTGTATCCTGTAAATAATGAACCTCTAAATACAAAACACAAAAATAAATAAAAGAAACAAGAAATACATACATTTTTGGTACCCTTGTATCTGTAACAGAACACAAACAAAAAATTAAATATTTAAAGAAAAAAGCGTAAACAAAAACATATTATTTAAATTTAACTAAAAGAAAAACAAAACAAACAACTAAATTAATGTTTAGAAAATTTTTTAAGACTGCAACAAACAAGAAAAATATAAAATAAATTACAAAAAACAAAGAAATAAAACAAAATTCATTGAAGTGGTAATTTAGTAATTAAACGTAAAAAAAAATAAATAAAAAAAAATTAAAAAAAATAAATAATAATAAAAGTGTTATAATATTTAAAAGGGGGTTATTAATATTAATTTTGGTTTAAATCAACTACGTTAACAAATACGTTAAAACACATGAAAAGACCAGAGCATACAAAATGAAGAAACGTCTGAATTGTATATGTGTCTCTATGGATCAGTTCTAGTTCTTTTCTAGTTCAGGTGTAGGTCAGGTCTAGTTCAGTTCTAGTTTAGTTCTACTTTAATTCTAGTTATAGTTCTTTTCTAGTTCAGTTCTAGTGCAGTTCTAGTTCAGTCTTAGTTCAGTTCTAGTTCAGTTCTAGTTCAGTTCTAGTTCAGTTCTAGTTCAGTTCTAGTTCAGTTCTAGTTCAGTTCTAGTTCAGTTCTAGTTCAGTTCTAGTTCAGTTCTAGTTCAGTTCTAGTTCAGTTCTAGTTCAGTTCTAGTTCAGTTCTAGTTCAGTTCTAGTTCAGTTCTAGTTCAGTTCTAGTTCAGTTCTAGTTCAGTTCTAGTTCAGTTCTAGTTCAGTTCTAGTTCAGTTCTAGTTCAGTTCTAGTTCAGTTCTAGTTCAGTTCTAGTTCAGTTCTAGTTCAGTTCTAGTTCAGTTCTAGTCAGTTCTAGTTCAGTTCTAGTTCAGTTCTAGTTCAGTTCTAGTTCAGTTCTAGTTCAGTTCTAGTTCAGTTCTAGTTCAGTTCTAGTTCAGTTCTAGTTCAGTTCTAGTTCAGTTCTAGTTCAGTTCTAGTTCAGTTCTAGTTCAGTTCTAGTTCAGTTCTAGTTCAGTTCTAGTTCAGTTCTAGTTCAGTTCTAGTTCAGTTCTAGTTCAGTTCTAGTTCAGTTCTAGTTCAGTTCTAGTTCAGTTCTAGTTCAGTTCTAGTTCAGTTCTAGTTCAGTTCTAGTTCAGTTCTAGTTCTAGTTCAGTTCTAGTTCAGTTCTAGTTCAGTTCTAGTTCAGTTCTAGTTCAGTTCTAGTTCAGTTCTAGTTCAGTTCTAGTTCAGTTCTAGTTCAGTTCTAGTTCAGTTCTAGTTCAGTTCTAGTTCAGTTCTAGTTCAGTTCTAGTTCAGTTCTAGTTCAGTTCTAGTTCAGTTCTAGTTCAGTTCTAGTTCAGTTCTAGTTCAGTTCTAGTTCAGTTCTAGTTCAGTTCTAGTTCAGTTCTAGTTCAGTTCTAGTTCAGTTCTAGTTCAGTTCTAGTTCAGTTCTAGTTCAGTTCTAGTTCAGTTCTAGTTCAGTTCTAGTTCAGTTCTAGTTCAGTTCTAGTTCAGTTCTAGTTCAGTTCTAGTTCAGTTCTAGTTCTAGTTCTAGTTCTAGTTCTAGTTCAGTTCTAGTTCAGTTCTAGTTCAGTTCTAGTTCAGTTCTAGTCAGTTCTAGTTCAGTTCTAGTTCAGTTCTAGTTCTAGTTCAGTTCTAGTTCAGTTCTAGTTCAGTTCTAGTTCAGTTCTAGTTCAGTTCTAGTTCAGTTCTAGTTCAGTTCTAGTTCAGTTCTAGTTCAGTTCTAGTTCAGTTCTAGTTCAGTTCTAGTTCAGTTCTAGTTCAGTTCTAGTTCAGTTCTAGTTCAGTTCTAGTTCAGTTCTAGTTCAGTTCTAGTTCAGTTCTAGTTCAGTTCTAGTTCAGTTCTAGTTCAGTTCTAGTTCAGTTCTAGTTCAGTTCTAGTTCAGTTCTAGTTCAGTTCTAGTTCAGTTCTAGTTCAGTTCTAGTTCAGTTCTAGTTTAGTTCTAGTTCAGTTCTAGTTCCAGTTCTATCTCTATTTCAAATATCTCTATAATTATTATTTTTTCTTTGTCACTGCTTGTCAGGTTTGGGAGTAATAAGTTAGTTTGAAAGGATGGTTTATGTTACATTAGAGTCGAAGAAATACAGCTAGGCCACTATCAGTGTTGTTGTGCAAGCCCGATAGATCCTCTGGTGGGAATCGAAACTACGACCTCCGTACTACTATAACTACTCTATATAACTAACAAATGTAAACAGTGTTATACTGACTGTTTATGATGGGAAATTAAAGAGATCACAAATTTTGGTTGGTTTTGGCAACATCTCATATAGTTTTCAAAATATGTATGTTAATGGACTTCTATGTTTTTTATTTAAATCTTTTTATGCTCACCGATTTTCGTTGTTTTAGTGCTATCTATTATAAATTTGAGAATATATTTCTTATATGAAAATACATATAGAAGTAATTATAAATTTCTGCTAACACCTATAACTGGCTGATGTAATTTAATTTCTTTTACATTTATTAAGTTTTGAATTTCTGTGCAATCAAATCAACAAGAAATAAACATGTTTATAAAACCAATAATTCATTAATACAAATTGAAATTGACCCAATTTGCCAGTTGCATAAAAACAGCAACCAAAATGTTTTTTTTTTTTTTCTTCTTTCAATGGTGATTACAGTCGGTAAAATTTGTAAGTAATATTATGAAAAAAGTAGTTTAAAATTTGTTTTCATATTTGTAGGAGTCCATATGTTTTACAGACAAAAAAAAAAAACATTTGTTTGCAACACGTGTGTTTTCTTATTTTGCAAAAACCATGTTTTGCAATGTTCTCAAACCTGTTTTCATTTACAATTTTTTAAAGGGATTTTATGTGTTCAAAACACAAATTTTACAGCAAAAAAAGTACTTTGACACAGATACGAATGAGTGCTTGCCTATGGACTCGTGCAATGATTTAACAGCAGTCAGTTTTTTTTTTTTTGTTAAACATTGTATCTTTCAGATACTCAATTGTTGTGGCATAATTTGTTTCATTCATTCACAAATTCACATTCAGTCAAATATATGTACATAAGTTTGTATTTATGTGTTGAGCTTTTTTTGTTTGTGCCACTACAACATGTTGCATGCTGCAACTTTTTTTCTGTGTCTTGTGTGAGTTTTTGTTGTTGTTGGTGCTGTTACAAAGTTTTATGAACAGCTGCTAAAGTTGGCGCGTGAACACTTGGTCGGTGCTATGAGTTGTTGCCAAATAAATATTGGGTCTAAGCATTTCGTCAAGGAATGAAATCATATTTTTCTAGAAAACTTGTCATACATTCGAATAGTTGCCCATAGGTAAATGGTCGAATATTCGAATATTTTCTATATAAAGTTTGTTGGATATTCGAATCATATTCATTTAGAAAATGTTTGCATAAACGAACGAATTTTTGAACTTTGAAATAACGAATACTGGAATAGTTTTCTATAGAAAACATGTCGATTATTCGAATTTGTAGAAAACTCTTCGAATACTCGAAAAGTTTTTTATAGAAAATATGAATGATTAGTTTTCTATAGGAAACTTGTTCTGGTTTCCTATACAAAACTTGACGAATATTTTCATAGTTTTCTAACGAAAACTAGACAAACATTCAAAGAGTTTAGAAAATATCATACATTTCTTTGGAATTACAGAAACATATCGTTTTGTATGCTTAGGTTATTTCCTGCACAAGATTTGTACCTAAAATATAAACATTTTTTTAAAAAGTAAATTCATTATCAGCTCTGGCTTTGACTACAAGAAGCTGCTAATAATATAGCAAAAAAACTGCTTGTGCTATAATTGTTGTTCTTGTTGGGGAATGCCTGTCTTTGGCACATGCGTACCCACAAACATGAGTCATTTATACATATATTTTTTCGACTTAAGCTAAAATAGCTAAAAAATGGTTTGTTTTGGTTTTAATGGTTTTAAAAAGGAAAATAACAGCAGCAACAATAAAAGCAAAAAACCCAGTTTAAAAACGTTTCTGCTTTACAAAATAAAATTCGTATGAACGAACTTTATATACGTTGTCGTTTTTGTGGTTTTTCATCCATAGAGGCGATCAGATCACCACATTTGGACCGTACGTACGTATGTACATACGTTCGAATGTTTTCAAGATTATGTGTGTTTGAACGCACGTCAAGTCGAAAGTCTTCATTCTATATTTTCTGACTTTGTGTGTAGAGTATATTTTTATCTTTTTGCGGTTTGATATTGTAGTCATTTATGTAAATTTGTGTGTTTTTTTTTCTTTTAATATTTTGTTGCTGTTTTTATTTTTTGTTATGTTGTAGGTTGGTTTTTTGCTGCTTCTAGTGTTGTTGCTGTTTGTTTGTTTTCTTAACTTTTCTGGGTTTGGCTACTGATTAAACTTTTGGACTCTTGTTTATTTAACGATGATATCTTAACACCTTTATTTTTGGGTTTTTAGTTTTTTTTCTTTAAATGTTAAACATACACACAATTGTCAAACTGTTTTGTTTGATTTTGGTCTTGTCTTGCCATGTCTTTTCATGTCTGTTGTTTGTTTATATTTGTTTGTTGGGCCGTCGTTTTATCTCATATCGAACTATGAATGTGGTTAATTGACAAAACGGAAATTATGTATGGACATAATCTATTGTACTCTTGGGACGGACTAGGTATAGTAGAGGTTCCCAGCAAAAACTTTTATTGAAACTGAGTTAAAAACTGATAACAGCAATAAGCGAAAACTATTATTTCTAAATGTTTATCAAAAATATTATTTCATATTTTTAAGGGATTGAAAGTAGATTTCCCTTTTTGTTACAACTTCTTTAGATGAAACAAAAACACTAACACAGATATCGGTATAGAGTGTAAATTGAGCTCTCCAATTGGATTTGTTTGAAAGCAAGAAAGCTTGTAAGAGAGCTCCCTATCGCTACCAATTAAAATTCGAGATTCGAGTCTTTTATTGAGAAACTATTATTCACCAAAGTTCATCAAATCGCTTCGAAATGTTTTATCATTCTTCAATATTTATTTATTTA